GCCCAGGGGAACCTGCTCATTGAGTGTTTGCTTCAGGGATGCCGTCCCTGGGGCTTAAAGCAGATTGCATGCTTGCAAGTTGTTCCAAAAAAAAACCTAAGAATAAGTAAGATTCACAATTCATGTCAATTCACTTAGAAATCAATTAGAAATATCATAGAAATCCAGAATCCAAAAGAATTCCCACAGAAACTCCATAGAAATCCAACAGAAATATCATAGAAATACCATGGTCACAGAAATCCTTTAGAAGTCCCAAGGCAATCCCATCGAAACACCATAGAAAACCCACGGAAATTCCATAGAAATCTATGGAAAATCTATAGAAATTCCATAGACATCCCATTGATTTTTTTTGAAATTGCAAAGAAAGATCAGAAATCTATTCAAAATCTCATAGCGGTCGCATAGACACACCATAGAAACCCCATGAACATCCCATGAAATGTTCATAGAAATTCCTTTAGAAACCCGATGCTAATCCCATAGAAATCCTTTACAAATCCCATAGGGACCCTGCAGAAATTCCATGGAATCCCCATAGGAATCCCATACAAATGCCATAGAAACACCAGGAGAATATCTGGAGAATGAACGGATGGAAGGATTCAGGGTTTTTTTTCGCTCCAGGAAAAGTAGGACACAATACCGGCCCCTCAAAACAAATCTGCTATTGAAGATCTGAGATGCTCATGGGCTACATCCTTGAAAATTTGTTTGGGTGCCTTTTTTTGGGGTGATTTGATAAGAAGTTTATTTTGGTGAGTTTGGCATTTTGAGGAGTCAAGATGAAAGCCAAGTAATGTACAATAGCTATACCAAAGATAGGGATGACTAGAGGGAGTTCTGAACATATTCACCCAAGGAAAAGTAGGACGCAATAGAAGAACCCACCAACAACCATTATTATTGAAGATCTGGGTTGCTCATGGGTTCCCCCTTGAAGAATTGTTTGGGTGCTGTTTTTAAATTGGGGTTTCAAAATGCATTTTATACCTTGGGTGAATTTGATATTTTGAGGTTTCAAGATTCAAGCTAAGTAGGTTACCCTGGTTTTTCCAAAGAGGGTGATAAATCGATTTGCTGTATGAAAAAATTGCCAGGGGACCCCACTAACAAACATACAATTGGAGATCTGAGTTGCGCATAGGCTTCTCCCCTGAAACATTGTTTGGGTGCTGTTTTTGAATTGCATTTTCAGAAGGAATTTGATATTTTGAGGAATGTGGCATTCTGAGGATTCAAGATGAAAGCTGAGTAAGTTACAATAGTTCCAAAGACGGGGATAAAGAGTTTCAGTTTTATGGAAAAACACCCAAGATAAAGTAGGACACAATACCAGCCGTGCAAAACAAACCTACTATTGAAGATCTGAGTTGCTCATGGGTTACCCCATGGTACCCCCTTGAAAATTGTATGGGTGCTGCTGCTTTACTTGCATGTTAATAAGGACGTATATATTTTTGTGAAATGTGATAAAGTTAGCTAACTTTAAGAGCAATGAAACCATATGCTCTAGAAGACCCCTGGACGTGAGGTACGACATAGCCATTTTCCAGTATGCTGGGAAGGAACGCTGTTATTAGTACGGGGACGCTTCTGCAGGGGCATGCTAGTGGTACAAGGTACGCTGTTATTGGTACGGGGACGCTTCTGCAGGGGCATGCTAATGGTACAAGGTACGCTGCTATTGGTACGGGGACGCTGCTGCAGGGGCATGCTAGTGGTACAAGGTACGCTGTTGTTATTGGTACGGGGACGCTGCTGCAGGGGCATGCTAGTGGTACAAGGTACGCTGTTGTGGGTCCGGGTACGGCCGGGTATGGGGACGCTTCTGCAGGGGCATGCTAGTGGTACAAGGTACGCTGTTCTTGGTACGGGGACGCTTCTGCAGGGGCATGCTAATGGTACAAGGTACGCTGTTATTGGTACGGGGACGCTGCTGCAGGTGCATGCTAGTGGTACAAGGTACGCTGTTATTGGTACGGGGACGCTTCTGCAGGGGCATGCTAGTGGTACAAGGTACGCTGTTATTGGTACGGGGACGCTGCTGCAGGTGCATGCTAGTGGTACAAGGTACGCTGTTATTGGTACGGGGACGCTGCTGCAGGTGCATGCTAGTGGTACAAGGTACGCTGTTATTGGTACGGGGACGCTGCTGTTTTTGAACCAAAATACATTTGATTATTTACATTTTCACAACATCCTTAAACTATAAGTATTGAAAACATATTGAACAAAATGAAAAATGTTGAAAGAAATTTGGAAAACTGAAAAACATGATGGTGAAGAAATGGTCTGAACAAATTGACACAACACCGACCCACCCCAGCCAATACAAAGGGCCAGAATTATTTTCAAAAAAATTGACGCAATACCGATCTATTGCACTCATCAGGAGCCAACATTAGTAGGGTCTCTGTGCGACATCTGCTCTGTGTAAGAACTGTTCTCTGTCGAAGAGTCTCTGGGTAGAGGCTGCTTTGTGTTGGTATGCCTTCATGTACATGTATTTGTGTTAATCTGTGGGTGCGTATGTATATGTTCGTGCGAGTCCATATTTGTTTGAAGTACGTGTGCAAAAGCAGCCTGCGAGTATGCGTATGTGTGTGTGTGTATGTCTTCATGTGTGTATGTGTGAAGTATAACAGTAACCGGGAATCCAGGTGTGTGTGTGTGCGTATATATATATATATGCAAATTCACGACCAATATCAGTCGGAATTCATGTTCCCATCCGCGCAGCATTGTGGCCCCTCGCCCATTGTCAAAAAGGGAGTGCGCATTCTTGCTAGCTCCTGTGAACCACTTGCATGGTAGCGCTTAGCCTGGTTTGATACCGGGGAGCTATCTACGCTTAGCCTTGAGGCGGCGAGGATCCAGGGATATGGGTGATGAAAGTGTGAGTAGAACCAAGGATGGGGTGCCAACTTTTGATGGCACCGTAGACAAGTTGAACCTCTACCGAGAGGAGGCTCTTCAGTACCTCTTCACGTTGGAGCACCACAAGATGTACCTTGCAGGTCCTAGGTTAGCTCAGGCGCTGACTGGCATTGCAAGGACAGTCATCAGAAAGAGGCTGGCAGGAGACCCTCAGTGGTTAACCCATCCGCTGGGGGCCTACGACCTACTGGAGCATCTGGAAAGGTGCATAGGGCAACCATCGTTGTTGCAGGCTTCGCAACACATACAGAAGTTCTTCTACCAGCTGAAACGAAAACGCTTCGAGTCAATGACGGCTTGGACAAATCGTCACAGTGAAGCTTTGTGGGAAGCCTCGAGGGCTCTCAGATTGGTTCAATCAGACCTAGGGACTAGTGTGAGCACTGGCAGGGGTATGTCTGAACCCTCATCTGGGAGATCATCTACTGACTGGCGCAACTACAAGCGCGATCGTCCACGTCAGGCTCAAAGCTCAGATGACCAAGGTCCATTTGGTGACAACGGTCGCTTGCGAGAAGAGGAGGATGAATGGGGAGCTGCTGATGAAGGAGTCCACTCTGATGCTGGTTGGAGCTGGAAGTCTTCCGATTGGGCGGACTGGTACTGGGGCTCATGGAAAAGTGATGAATATGCACCTCCTGCGTCTTGGAGTGCTGAAGCCCCGGACTTCATTCCGGACCATTTGACTGGCTTCTTGCTGTTGCAACGCTCAGGGCTTGATGCTGGTGAGCGAGCAAACGTACTGGCAGCCATCAAGGGCAACATCTCAGTGGTTTCTGTCGAACAAGCCTTGAAGGAACAGTGGACGGATGAAGACCTGATGAAGAGAGACCAACACCATCATCAGGCACACCTTGTGTTTGAGGATGAGCCCGAGGATGTGATGCTGGCAGATGAAGGTGCGCCAGATCCACATGAAGATGCTGAGGCCTATGAGTGCTACATGGCTGATCAGGCTCTGATTGAGTCTGCTCTTGAAGTCATCCAGGAGAAGAAGCGCACCTTGAAGGAAGCGCGGTGGCGACAACAACAAGTTCGCATGGGGCGCAACTTTTACCCCACCGGCAAGGGCAAATCGTCTTGGCCTCGATCATCTACCTTTCACCAACGTCCAAAAGGGGGCAAAGGTGACAGCACAATCAAATGTGTCCGTTGTGGTGGTCCACATCAGACCGTCAACTGTCCAGTTCCAAAGAAGCAGCATGCACAGGTCTCAGAAGAGACTGAGGTAGCTTTTGGATCTGAGCTTCTCCAGAACTCTCCTGCGGAAGCCGTGCATGTCTCAGCCGAGGTGGGCAACAACATCATGCAGTGCAAGGGCGTGATTGACTGTGGAGCGACTGCTACTTTGGGTTCCATCGCAGCGGTCGAAGCTTTGATGCACAACAACATGACCAAGCACGGTGAGGACAGGGTTACCATAGATCCCCACAATACTCCTGTGTTCAAGTTTGGGAACAACGGGACTACTTCATGCGTTTCCACTGCACATCTAAAGGTAGATTGTGGGTCCAAGCTAGGTGCCATGGCTGTTCATGTACATGAGGTGCCCAATCAGCCAATTTTGATCTCAGTCAAAGCCCTGAAATCACTGGGCGCAGTTGTTGATTTTGCCAGAGATGAAGTGATTTACAAGCACCTTTGCCCGCACAGTGTTGTTTCTTTGGAGAGTGCCAAAAACGGCCACCTCCTGATGCCACTTGGTGGCAATCTTTTGGCAGGTGCAGTGAAGCGAGCTCAGCCATTTTCCCAGCTAGGCGACGAATAGGGAACATGCTCCTCTGGAGAAAATGGACATTGCGTCCAGGGGAGCTTGACAGGAAAGGATTTCTCTTATGAAACCTGTGCCGTGTGTAGTTTGCAAGCTGTACAGAATTGTTTGTGCACCTTTTGTGGACATCATCAGCAACAAAAACACCAAGTTTGTAGTGACACTGTTTTTCATGTTGATAGGTCGAAGCTTGAGCCATCTAGTGCCACGTTGCAGCAGTCAGCAAGCCTCAACTCCGCATTGCCCGAGCGTAACCTCACCAGTTCCGCTGCTCATCTAGCACACCATGCCGACCGAGCGCAAGATGGACCTCATCTCCAAGCTCCAGGACTTGGGAGAAGACGTGCCAACTGCCTGGAACACTCAGCAGATCAAGGCCCGATTGGCCGAGCTGAAGACTTTCCAGAAGGAAGGACAACATGCTCTCCTGAAGAACCAACTGACCGAGCTCAATCGTGCAGCTCGGAAGAAGGCAACTCTCATCGTCTATGCCCAGGGCTTGGAGATCCCGGTGCGTCCCAACGACACCATCAGTGTGCTCTTCGCACTTGGCCGCCGCCGACAGGCAGCGACCTGGTGAACTTCGGCAAGCACTCAGACAAGAAGTACAAGGAGATCCTGGAGGAATGTCCCTCCTATGCAGAGTGGATCCTAACCACAGCCGACAAGAACCCAGAGTCGTCGTGGCGCCTGAAACGACTGGCACAGTGGTTGAAGGTCACCATGGAGGAACAGCACATCACACAGTTCAAGAAGACCGAGAAGGATCTCCCTCCGTCGGGATATCATCCCCGCCATGCCAAGGGGAATCCAAGCGGATCATCGACCGACCTGTCCGACGGGTCCTTCCTGAAGATCCAAACCGACGATTCCGACTCCGAACTGAGTCGCTTGAAGACCGAACTGGACCAGCTCCGCTCAGAGAACAACATGATGGCTCTGCAAATGTCGCGCAGCAAGTGCCGCAGGGAGACCTGAGCGACCTTGATGACTTTGAGGACAACTCTGAGTGGGAAGATTGCCCAGAACATCAGTGTTTTCAAGCTCACAGGAAGATTGGACAAAATTGGTTGGAATCCAGAAACCCCTATGGCAAATCATGGGAAGAGTTGATATCTCTTGATAGGTTGTTTCTTTTGGAAGTTGCATGTTCTGAGCGAAGTATTCTCTCTGAAGAAGTACTGTCCAGACATGGACCAAACTCTGCTATGCGATGCGCTCACTGGAATGGATTTGATCTGACAACTCGTAGTGGAGTGGAAAAGCTGAAACAACTGGTTCGTGAACGCCGTCCCAAGCATATTTGGATTTCATGTGAATGTGGCCCTTTTTCTCCTTTACAACGGATCAATCAACGAACCCCAAAACAATGTGAAGAATTGCAACGTAAACGTGAGTCAGCAGTACAACAATATTTGGGTGGCATTGAAGTAGCAAGATTTGGACGTCGCTACGGTAGTCAAAGTCACTGGGAATTGTCAGAGAAATGCGAGGCCTGGAATTTGCCGATCATTCAATCATTCCTGGAGGAACAACATTTACGAAGGGTTACATGCCATGGTTGTACTGTCAATCTTCGTGCACATGACACTGGTGAACTCATGTGTAAAGGTTGGACCATAGCCACTACCAACTACAACATCCTGCGGCACATGAACCTCCCATGCCAACGAAATCATAAACATACAGTTTGTGAAAGCGGCAGGACCCATTATTCTTCCTTTTACACACCAATTTTTGCAAAGAAGGTGATTGATGCTCTTCAGGAACAAGAGGCGTGGTCGGCCCTCAGCCAGGAACTGTCGCTGCCACCTATAGTGAGGTGTCAGATCCATTCTTTTGCGTGGAAAACTCAGAGACATGCCTGGTGAACGAGGGTGGAATATCTTCTGAAGAAAAGATCAAAATCAACAATCTCCTGCGCCATATTCACAGTGTTACTGGACACGGCTCAGTAGAAACTTTGATCAAGTCCCTCAAGAACCGGGGAGTTCCTGAGAAAGTTCTGGCGATAGCAAGGGAGTTCCGCTGTCCTCTATGCGAAGCGCGTAAGCGGGTTGTGCCACGAAGACCTGCTACTCTGGAGACTGCACCACTGAAATGGCAGAGGATACAAAGTGATCTAGGTTCTTGGACTCATCCTCATACACATCACAAGATCAAGTTCATCCTGTTTATTGATGAAGGTTGCCGTTTCAGAACAGGTCGCATCTTATTTGAGAACAGCCGGGAACAGGCCACCTGGCCCGTTGTGCGAAAAGCATTTGAAGAGCTCTGGATCTCGACCTTCGGGAGGCCAGAGGAAATTCGTGCAGATCCTGAGGGTGTGTGGCGCAGCGATGAGGCCGCAGCATACTGCCAAGAGCGTAGCATGACGCTGACTCCAGTTCCGGCAGAAGCTCATTGGCAAATTGGAATAGTTGAAGAAGCAATCCAAGCGGTCAAACATGTGTTGGACACCCTCACCACTGAATTTCCTGACATGGAGCTCTCAGAATGTTTTGCACGGGCTATTTGGGCATGTAACTCTCGGGACAACTCCTATGGGTATTCTCCAGCTCAACATGCTATGGGTCGTAATCCTGATGAATGGGGTCGCCTCTTTACAAGTAAAGTTCAGGGACATCCAATACATCCACAACAACTGGTTGATGGGGGCTTTGGTGACAATATCAAAGCAATGGCCGCAGCAGAACAGAGCTTCAGCCGTTTCCAAGCGAAAGCACGACTTGCCCGAGCCGAAGCTGCAGGTCGAAGACCCATGAAACATTTTGTTCCTGGTGATTTGGTTTTCTACTGGCGAAAACAGGTTCAAGGAGGACAAGGTCGTGGTTTTTCATGGAGTGGTCAATTTATAGGTCCAGCCAGGGTGTTAGCTGTTGAGACTAGAGAGGATGAACAAGGGCGTCTTCGACCGGGTAGTTGTATATGGCTTCACCGTGCCGGTCGCTTGATCAAAGCCGCACCTGAACAATTGAGGCAAGCCTCGAGCCGTGAAAGAGCTGTGGAAGAACTCAAGGGACCATGCGAAATTCCATGGACTATCACTTCCTTAGCCACTCACCCACACAGAAAGACTTATTGGGACATTTCTGCAGAAAAACCCACAGACCTACAGTGGCAAGAGGCTAGCGATCATCCGACAGGTGGCCGGCGGTACAGTAGCAAGAAGCGTCCGACCGTAGATCAACCTGCGGAATCTCCATCTCAACCTATGGAGGATATCACCGCAGATCCACAGTTTGCAGATGACGATGTGGAGATGAAAGCGGAAGACACCACCACCAAACCAGTATCTGAACCTGATGAGGCCATGTTAGCAGTTGAGATCTCCATCGACATACCAAATTCAAAACGTGGTGTGAACAAGTTCATCGAGGATCCTGTAGCTTTTGTTGTGAATCAGATGAAGCGAAACACAGTAGAAGTGCGGGAAAGAACTTTGACGGATGAAGAATTGGCTCAGTTTAAACTAGCAAAAGACAAAGAAGTACGTAGCTATATTCAATCACACTGTTTCAAAGTTCTACCACTTGAACAACAAGACAAATTGGATTCAGTTGGTATGCGGTGGGTGCTTACATGGAAGGGTTTGGAAGATGGTAGTGGTGGCCACAAGGCTAAGGCCAGAGCGGTGATCCTAGGCTATCAGGACAAAAACTATGAGTTCAAGCAAACGGCTTCTCCCACATTGTCTAGGTCTGGTCGCCAAGCCTTTCTTGCGTTTTGCAGTCAATGTCATTTCCGTGTTCGGAAGGGAGATGTATCATCGGCATTTTTGCAGGGTGACGCACTGAAGGATGGCATGAAGGTACAGCCCACTAGAGAAATATGCGATGCCTTGGGTATTCCTCATGGTTCTGTTACACAACTACAACGTGCAGCATATGGGTTGGTAGAAGCACCACTATGGTGGTACAAGAGTGTTTCCAATTTTCTCATTTCATTGGGTTACACACGAATGAAAACTGAACCTTGCATCTGGGTATACTTTGATGAAACAGGAACACCACGATCAGCCATTAGTGGACATGTCGATGACTTTCTATTTGCGGGTTGTGATGATGACGACTTGTACCAACAACTGGTTGCGAAGATCAAATCCAAGCTTCAATGGGGTCAATGGGAACATAGCCCTTTTGTTCAATGTGGTGTCAAGGTAGTACAACATGAGGACTACAGTTTTACTTTGAGCCAACACGATTTTCTGGAACAATTACATCCTATCAATATTAATCGAGAACGGTTTCGTCAACGTGATCACGAAACTACAGATACTGAAAAATCTCAAATGCGTGCGGTTCTGGGTAGCCTCAGTTGGATTTGTGGACAGACGGACATTTTACACAGCGTGGATGTGAATTTTCTTATTTCTACAATACCAAAGAGTACTGTGGCGGACATTGTCAAGCTGAATCAGTTGGTCTCTGATGTTAAACGACATAGAGCAGACATTTTTATTCACCCACTGAAGAAAGGGGAAAAGGTTGATTTAGTAACCTGGGGTGACGCAGCCTGGGCCAATAGGCCCGATCATGTCAACAGCACAGAGGGTCTCATTTGTGGTCTGGCACCACAGTCTCTGCGAAGGGGTGAGCTCTCCAAAGTCACCCTACTCTCCTGGAAGAGTGGGAAAATCCATCGAAAGTGCAGATCACCAGCATGTGCCGAAGTTCACGCAGTGGTAGATGCAGAAGATGACCTCTACCATCTGAGATACCTGTGGTCTGAAATGCACTATCCTAGATCTATGTTGGAAAAACTCTCAGCGCCTGAGATTGTGAACCTGACTCCTGGAATTACTATCACTGACAGTAAGAACCTTTATGACAAGATCAACACCGACTCACCGACAGTGAAAGGTGAAGAGAAAAGATCTACTATTGAAGCACTGGCTTTAAAAGATTCCTCTACCGAGTCAGGGACTATGCTCCGCTGGGTTCATTCAGATGCCCAGCTGGCTAACTCATTAACCAAGCCTTCGGAGAAACAACAACTTCTTCTCTTCTTTCAATTGAACCAATCTTGGAGAATCATTTATGATGAACAGATGAAATCCGCCAGACGGAGGAAAGCTGATGGCATCAAGCCTATGGAAAATCAAGCTGTTGATTCTTATTTTTTTTTGTCCACCGGTGCAAATTCACGACCAATATCAGTCGGAATTCATGTTCCCATCCGCGCAGCATTGTGGCCCCTCGCCCATTGTCAAAAAGGGAGTGCGCATTCTTGCTAGCTCCTGTGAACCACTTGCAATATATATATATATATGTGCGTGTGTGTATGTATGGTTTGTATATTTGTGTATGTATAGTGATGTCGCGATTCAGCGTGGGATGCCGGGTTACCGTTCTGATCATTTCCTTCTTACCTACTTAAATTCAGTTCGTTCATTTTCCTTCATCGCCAAAAAACTAACGTTCACCTGCGTACTTCTGCTCCTCTGCAGTCTCGGGCCATCCGTCGTCTAGTATCCATACAACTTTGGACCAATTCATTCTTTGAGATGCCTCAATGGCCCAAATCATTCCCTTTTGCTTGCAGCGCAAGGTTATTTTTGGGAGATCAGCCCCCAATACAATGTCAGAAGCGATTCCACGTGCTTGATGTACGTACTGAGGATGGATAGCACGCGTTACTTGGCGGTGGCCAATTACCAGGACAGCGTTTCTTCCCACAACACCGATTCAAAGATCTACAGGTGGGACGGTTCATCTTTTACAGAGTTTCAGACCTTGGCCACAAATGGAGCTTGGTGGTGGGAGGCCTTCACCATCGATGGCACCCATTACTTGGCGGTGGCCAATACCCACAACGATGTTACCCACGACATCGATTCAAAGATCTACAGGTTTGATGGCTCATCTTTTATAGAGTTTCAATCCTTGGCCACAAGTGGAGCGCGAGAGTGGGAGGTTTTCACGATTGATGGCGCCCACTACTTGGCTGTGGCCAATGGTTACACCGAGGACTCCTGGACCCACAACACAAATTCAAAAATCTACCGCTGGGATGGCTCATCGTTTGCAGAGTTTCAGACCTTGGCCACAAATGGAGCTTGTGGATGGGAAGCCTTCACCATCTCTGGCACCCAGTACTTGGCAGTGGCCAATAACTACAACGATAAGTCCTACAGCATTGACTCGAAGATCTACAGGTGGGATGGCTCATCGTTTGTGGAGTTTCAATCCCTGGCCACAAATGGAGCTCATGGATGGGAGGCTTTCACACTCGATGGCGGCCATTATTTGGTGGTGGCTAATAGCTACAATGGTGCTTCCCACAGCACCGATTCGAAGATCTACAGGTGGGATGGCTCAGTGTTTGCAGAGTTTCAGGCCCTGGCCACACATGGAGCGTTGGGATGGAAGGCCTTCGCCATTGATGGCACCCAGTACTTGGCAGTTGCCAACAACTACAACGATGCTTCCTACAACATCGATTCAAAGATCTACAGGTGGGATGGCTCTTCATTTGCAGAGTTTCAGACCTGGGCCACAAACGGTGCTTGGTGCTGGGAGGCCTTCACCATCGATGATACCCAGTACTTGGCCGTCGCCAATTACTACAGTGATTCAATTATTTACACGCTGACAATCACAACAACCACCATCAGCACTTCCTTCACCACCAGCACGAGCACTTCCAGCACCTCCCTCACCAGCACCACCACAGCCACCAGGAGCAGCACCAGCACATCTGTCACCAGTACCAGCACTACCACTTCCAGCAACTCCCTCACCAGCACCACCACAGCCACCAGGAGCAGCACCAGCACATCCGTCACTTCCAGCACTTCCATCACCAGCACCACCACTCGGACAGAAGGGCCTTCTGCGTTGGAATCGAGCCAGTTCGTGTTTGCAGATGCTGGTGCGTGGTGCCTCGGTTTTCTGGCCTTGTACCTCTTGGCCATAGCAGTGGTTCTTCTCATGGCCCACCTGTGGGCAAAGACCGGGGAACCAACCCAGCACCCCATTGGGCATCCCACCCCAGAGAATGACGAGCCCCAAGAGTCCCAAGAACATCAGAAATTTCAAGAGCCTCACTCCCAAGGGCAGCAAACGGAGGAGGCAACACCAGGCAAAGCCAACCAGGAAAGAGAGGAGATGCCGATCTCGCGGATGATCCGGCGCTCACCCTACGTGCTGGCACTGAACATGGTTTTGGAGTCCGGAAATTTGGTGTCGTCGTTTCTGGGCTTGAAGCCGTTGATTTTTTTGCCACATGTGACTCGCAGACATTGAAAACCGTTCCCAGATCCGTCCCAGGCTCCTTTATGTAACTGAAGCTTACCAGTGCTCGGCATTGATTGGCTTCAGCAGTGCCTGTGGCTCCGGCGTTCTGGTGCCGCTGAAGGCTTGGAACTGCCCAAGTGAGACCGCAGCTTTACACTTGCCTGCTTGCCACAACAGCCTGGCGCTGGGAGAGTGGTGCGAAGCAGACAGTGAGGCCAGTAGGGAGACTCGCAAATATGGCATAGCAGGGCTGTCTATCAATATTGGCTGCTGGTATAGATCTGACATGATCTGACCATGGCATTTTCCCAGGCATTGTCAGCACTTGAATCCTCAGCAAATCACCAATCAAATCAAAAGTTGTGAAGCAGTTTGACAATTTTCCAAGTAAGATGCATTGCCTTCTTTCAAAACGTCACATGAAAGTGATACAAGATATGCTGCAGTTTCCACCCAGGCATTTTAATTAATCACACTTGTTCAGTTTAAAGAACTTTAGTGACTGTTGCGGTCAGAGTTGTTGCAGTTGGGGATATGTTATTGTTTTGTTATTGTTTGGTTTTCTTTCCGGCCTGCCAGGTCGCATCACCCGATTGCCAAGTTGAGACCGATCTCGACAACTGCGGGAAGTTCGACGTCTACACGATGCAAATGCCACCCTGCGCTGATATCGGGTGCCCGACTTTGGCTACTGGTCTTTGGTTCTTCGCGCTTTTGTCCCTGGTGCTCACCATCGCGTGGACCGCGGCCTTCTACACCCGAACGTTGCTGAAACGATTGGTCCTGCAGCAGCAGTGGCGGATGCGTGCCTTCGTTTTCATGACGGTCCTGGGCATCCAGACGATCATCATCTACATGGTTGGCTTCGTGGGGGGAAGCAGCTCCGTACTGGCTATGGCCTTCCTAAACCCATTGCTTCTGTTGGCCGCTTGGAGTTTGGCTCTTGGCGTCACCTTCACGCCAGGGGTGGAGAAAGAGGCCGGGAGGATCATGCTTTTTCCTGTTTTTATCTCTACCTAATAGTCCATGCTTCTCACTTACGAGTATACTGTTTGTTTTACTGCACATGTTTTGCCATGAGATCCGCAAACTGTTCCTGGCAGGCAGTTGTAGTGAAAGGGGCCGCCTTGGAAATACCATTTTTCAACGCGCTGCTGGCCATGCACTTGAATCTATAGATCTTGCTCAAATACGTTTTGTTTTTAATGTTGTTTCTATTTTTGTTTTTCTGGCATCGACCCAGCTTGCAAAAATGCGATATGTTTTGCTGTGCTTTTTGGGTCGTGCCCATGGACAAATATGGACAAACAGTAGGTAACATCTGCGCACAGCGCCGTGTCATGCCCAGGAAGCCCAGAGAAGTTGAGGAGATCCAGGATTTCCGTGGACCTCTCAACACCGGACTGCGGCTTGTAGAGGACATCCCGGAGCTCAACTTGAAACATATCACTTTGCAACAGAACTTTTGGCCAGCTTTTAGGCAGATCATGTAGGTCAGGATCTTGCTTTTCTACCAATGACATATAATGACATCAGTTGAAAGACTGATTGCTTTCATGTTCATCTAGCTGAAGGACATCCCGGAGCTCCTGATCGGTGGCCTCGACTTGCTCTACTTTGGGGGTGCTTGGTGCTTCGACTCTGGTTGGGTTGTGTTGTTATTTAAGGTTCCCCATGGCATGTCTTGAAAATGGCTAATTAATATAATTGTATAATTATCGAAGGAAGTTTAGAAGTCAAACTGCGGACAATATGAGGAGATGAAAAGTAGAGGTGGGAACAATCAGAGAAGAGAAGAGAAGAAGAAAGAAGATCAGAGAAGAGAAAGAGTAAAGAGTCAGAAGAAAGAAGATGCAGGTGCGCGAAAGGGAAATGCATCTTTGCAGATCCTCTTCAAATGCCCCAGGCCTGCCAACGTTTTTGAAACTGCTACAAAACCCTCACGTTTTGCTCACTTTTGGCAAGGTGCCCCTTGCGCCTACCACGCAAAACCACATCCTAACTTCCAAAAGTGGTCCGAGACTATTAGTGTTTAACACTTTTGACTTCGAAGCGTGCTTCGCGCCACAAGGGCATGCACTTTTTGAACATCAACTTCCAAAAGTGCTCCAAGAATGGTGCGCTTCGTACAATTTGTCTTCGACATTTGCTTCGCGCATCTTCGCGCCACAACGCGTGCACTTTTTCAAAACCTCAACTTCCAAAAGTGGTCTGAGACCCTCAATTTTTTTTTTCAATTTTGACATCTTTTGACTTCCAAATGTGCTTGGTCAGAGCGCTGATTTCCTGAGAGAGGTTGTATTTTGGAGCATCAGATCTTCAGGTCTGCTAAGATGATTTTTCATGGCAGGTGCAGCACTTCGTATGACCTGGCATCACTTTTTAAAACAGGCGCAATGCTTTGCAAAGACACATGGACTGGGACAACTACAAACTACACCACACCACACCACACTACATTCAGCAGCTGTGGGCGAAGTGACCACTGCAACCACTCCAAAAAGCACAACTCCGACCACCTTTTGTTCCATCAGTGGATTCGCTCTGCCATCCATGCATCGCAACAACTCACCTCTCCTATAATAGTCTATCTTTGAAACTTCCGCCACCGCCTTGTGCGGTACTACTGGTACAAACCTATTGACTTTCACTCGGTCATGCATACAGTGTAAGATCTGTAGTTACAGAGAGAAATTATTAACTATTCATAGTGAAAAGTTCAGGTCCTTGAGCACCCGCACAGTCAAATACGATCAAAGGACTTTGTCATTGTATTGTTTGTTTCACCCTTCATCCAGAGAGCATCGCCTGTAAATGTAAACCTGCACCTGCAAGGTATGCCTGGTTGGGAATCGCCTGCTCTATGATGATGATTTTGTTTCACCTTTTTGTCGGGATTTTCCTGACTTGTCGCCAGTCGGCCATGTGGGTCGCCCAAATCGGCCGCCCGCTCGAGACAGAATGAGGCTGCGAGGGCAGCCAGGAACGTTCTGTCGGAATTTTGATGGACTTGGTTTTTCTTTGAAGCGGTTCAAGACTAGCCGGGTCCAGGTGGCTAGGCCGGGTTTCCTCGGGAACGCCTGAGCTGTAAGAGCCTGGAAAAGCTCGGGTCATCGTGATGGACGTTGGCTCGGGCACCGATTCCTAATTCCCTCTTGTGCCCACGTAGAAAAAACGTGCTGTGCCGAGGAATCATTGTTATTATTGCATGCTGTGATATGGTGTGTGTATAAATATCCAGCGCTTGATCAAAACCCTTGCAGTTTGCTGCACAAGATTTGGCGGTGCTGAATGTCCAGCGCACACCGGAGATGAAAAAATAAAGGTCGCTGATTGCTTTGTGGCGTCCTGGCTCGTGCTGCAACTCTCTGAGCGCTTCATATTGACATCATGCTTATCCGGATCAAATTGCAGCTGGCACACTGGCTTGGCAGGAATTTGTTCGTTTTTTGAAGATGTCTTCATGTCAGGTTTGAACAAACACGGTGGCAGTGCTTCTGGCCGCTGCTGGATTCGAGCCAGTGGAGATGAGCCAGTGGCAGCCAGTGGTGGCTTGGTCCTTGATGGAAGGTCCGTTGAATGCCAGGACTGTGCCAAGTTGGCATAGGTAGAGGTCCATGTGGAAGCCCTGGGCCCCATCTAATGGAGAGAAGGGTAATGACATAGTCCTGAGATATCTATGTTAGCTGTTTGTTTGTCAAAACCATCCATTTACTATATGTTCTGCTAAAGACTGGGCCCATCTTCATTTTTGCTCGTCTTAGCTTTGGGCTACGTGAGATCATGCGTTTCCCGCATAGCAGCCTGCAACATCTGGCAGTGATACAAGGCGTGATTGGAAACTGGGCAAATGCTGGGCACATGATGTACCACATCGATCGGTCATGATGGACACTTTGGCGACGAATCTGCACTCTACTGACTCTACCGGGGTTCTGGAGGGATGATTTGTGGGGCATGACTTGGTTCCGTTTCATCAGCTTGGCTACCTCTTGAAGCGGCTAACTGGGATTCAATCATATTCAAGCTGGGACTTATTGAACTTATTCCAATCATATTCAAGCTGGGATTTATTAAATCATTTAAATCTCATCAATACTCTTTGGGAACGCATGGGGTTTTATGAAATTTCATTGGTTGCATCCTGGTTCCCGGTCGACTCAGGGTCCAAAGCCTGAGACGGCCATATTTTTGTTGCAGTTGATATATCCAGTGATGAAGGGGATATAGAACTTACATGAACTTACCATCAAAGATGTGGATACAAAAGAATAGGAATGATGGTGATATATTGGGAATATATCTGGATGAATGATAAAACATGATATAACATGATAAAACATGATAAAACGATCTCGTCACTATATGTCACAATGTCACTGTAAATTATGGGGAGTACAGTAATTAAGGAGGAACATCCTCAGGGGAGCCGTGATCGGGATCACCTGCCCCTGAGATGAGTAGATGGGAGTGATATGTTTGCAAGACACTGTCATGTCTTCAAGCATGTGCGCACACAGATATGTCCCTACTTGCCAACCACTCGGGGCCATGCAGTCTGATGACGAGGACGTCGCCTTTTGGGCATCCTGAAGAGGGGCGAAGCGTCGAACATCCGGCACGAGCAATGGGAAGTTCCCTACATAAGATAGAGGTTTCAATGGTAGAATCATTTATAAATGGGTATCCAAGCTGCCTCTGGCTATACTGTACATACATCTTCCAAAATAAGAGACATAGTTAGTTTGACACTGTGAGAGCGAATTTGAAACATGATAGCACCATCCAGTTGAAAAATCTGGGCTGCCAGAGGATTCGCCGCCATTTTGCATGATGTTCAACCTCTTGGAGTTGGATGGTGGCAATGAACACCATTGAGGGAACGAAACCATGCGAAACCTCTTTCCCATTCGTTTTCTCTATTTAATACTCTATTTCTTGACATTGGTAACAGCCACTGGTTTCCCCAAACAAATGCATTTTCAGCGGTGATGAAAAACCATGAAAAAATACTGGGATTCGGGGTGCACCTTGTTTAGATATCCAAAATCAATGCTACAGAAGGCTCAGTGATCATTGCAGACCATTAGCTTCAAGCCCAATGAGGACGCTTATGATACGGGTCCAAACTTCAAGCAAAGTCAAAAATCTGAAAATACAATTGAAAGTTGAATCTACACTAACTGCGTCGCCTCAACTGATGTGGGGTCACCACACGGTATCAATCGATATGATAGAGCTGAGATGATGATCATAGAATATCAGAGTGTTGCACAATACCTTCACAAAGCGCAATAAGACAAGCAAAACCCACGTGCTTGCAGTGCAAAAGCTTGTTCCTTTGCGAAATGGTGGTTTCAGATGGGAGACCAGAGGCGAGCAAGGTTGGTATTCTTGGACCCTGATCCAGTTCGCATCAAGTCTGAAGCTGGGCCGAAAGAAGCAGATTGGGGGAACTTCATGTCATGATGTGATGCCTACTGTTTCGAAATGTTTAGAGCATATCCCAACCTGTGAGTTCAGGGTCATCCTTATTCTTATTCTTGAACCAAACTTTTGCTGAATTCGAATTCTTCCCTGGTGCCGAACACGCCAGGGAAAGCCCAAAGGAAGTCGCAGCCGACCAAAGAAGAAAGAAGCCACGGAGCAGCCCGGATAGCTCAACCTGGCTGCGGGCGTGAATGAAGCGGTTTGGTTTAACCAGTTGTAACCATATAATTAGTCATGATACAGTTGTATGATGTTAAGTTGGGTTTTATCATGTTATATCCCAACGTCCGGGGGTCATTACCTTATTTACTCTTGTTTCAACAAAAATCAAACCCCAACTGCGCCTCCAAGTGGCGATTGAGATGTGGACCTTCGTGTGAATGGTGTGTGAATGATGAGTGAATGGGTAATCCTTTCGGCTCCAAATCGATAAGTATACCGTATACCATAAGATGATGTACCAAAGATTAAAGTACGAAACTTGCATCCTTCTCAATTCGGGCAAAGATTTTTTGTGGGGTATCGAAGGTTGACAATGCTTAAGCATGGGTAGTTACCCATGGTTGCTTCTGTCAATTTCAGTGATTGTGGGCCAATCAGTGCAGTGCTTTGGTGTTCAATGTAAATGGGTTTGTTGGAAACTGGGGTGGTATACCCCAATATGTTTTTTTAATGGAGAAAATGATGAACAACTAGTGGAAATAGGTGCACGCCCTTTTCAGACACTCCGAAGGATTTATATATGTGACCACTTGGATTCAAAGCCAGAATATCACCCCCTTGTCATCTACAAGGATGCAGGGAAAGATGAAATATTGGCCCCCTCTGATGGGCCAGGTCATTCCTGTCTTGAATAGGAAAACCCTCTGGCAATCATGGCAATAGAACATCCCCAATTTATCAATTTGTGGATGATGTTCCCATTCAAACCTTCATTTCTAATCATTTCTAGGGGATTTCCCATTGCCATGTTTCATGACACCGGAGGGTAAGCCAGGGCATAACCCTTCATCCGGCAGGTTGCCTGCAGCGCCGACTTCGGCAAGTCAGCTGCCAGTGTGGTGGCCTAACTGCTTCAGAGATAAAAAGGGGGAGGTTGTGGAGGCTGCAGTCGGGATGAGTTGATACTTGGATAGAAAGATGTCTATAATATATGTGTTCTGGATTTGTTTCTAGCATATTAGTCTATCATTTTCTATCTACCCAGCTAGCTACCTACCTATCTTTGTATAAAGGTCTACATATGCCATAGGAACAATTAGTTTGCAGCTCAGGCCCCTGAGGCTGAGAAAGCGGTTCGAAGTAAAGGTGCCACCTGGGAGGATGCCCCAAAGCCATGAGTTAATCGCCATTTTCCTTTTTTAAAATTGGCCATTTGGTGGTGCAGCAGATAGTTTCTTCTCATTTTCGGATAAACTCATGTGGTAATGGAACATGGCTAGTGAGACGGTCACCATGATTTTCAAGCATGGGATGATTAAGAAAATGGAGGGCTTGCCATGGCATGCCATGGCCAGGTTGGATTGCAAGAGGTTCTTTAGGACCATTGAATGGTTCTTGGATGTCAAGAGTGCCTCCATGAGTCGCAGGGTTGATTTCTTCTGGCGTCACAGGCTCTGCTAGCAGAGGTAGAGAAGCACCAAAACAGGAGCCTTGCAGATGGGTTTGAGTGCAAATATCATTGGATTTAATCGTAAAAACCATGGTTTCTGTAGATTTTCCCTTGCCTTAAACCAATCCAATGAAAATAGAGAGCTGGATTGCAGAGATACTCTTCACCTGTGACGTTGCAACCCGATGTGTTCCTGCAGGACTCTCAGCTCAAGGCCAGCACCAAAATACAGCTGGTTGCTGTCAATGAAAGCATGACATATGAATGGCCCACTGATCCACAAGGTTTCTTAGAAGGAAAATGAGACGAACATGGTTGGATGATGCTGGTGTATGTAAGACATTTTGGATTGATTTTGATTGAAGGTGCCGGAGAAGGCTTCCAGCAGATTGCGGGCGCAGGGGGGCCCGGTGGTTGTGGCTCCAGGTGATTTGTTTTATTGTTTTCTTCGTGTCCAGTCCGGCGTTAGCTGCAAGCCAGCCTGTTTTTTCCGGAACCACTGTGTATAAATATTCATGGAATATAGTCAATGATGTCAATGAATATATACTTCAGGGTGCCCTATAGAGATATGTTTAACAATGTGCTTTGTGGCAGTGGCATGTCCAGCATTGAGTTTTGCTTGTTTGGGAGAAGCAGTTCCCCATTGGGGATAAATAAACATCCCACTATCCGTGAAAATAATTCGACACATCACCAAAATTGAAGATTGTTTTCTACGTGTGACCAGGTAAGCGTGGTGAGTTTCAAGTGGGGCCCTTTCCCATCGATCACCATCACCATCCATCACCATCCATCACCCCATTCCCAAGCACAGCTTTTCAGCTGTACCCCTCAGGGCCTCAGCTGATTCCAATGCCTCCTATGTCTCGGCAGTGTCACAGCGTTCGGCGCTTGGCTACAGTGATGCCCAACGTAATTGTCATTCGTCAGGATTGATTTGGGATGATTTGGGTCGAGTTTGGTAAACCTGGTTTTGGAGGGGCAGTTTGGGGAGACCCATTTTGTGACCCATCCACGTGTCATCCTGCTTAACTTGGCCCCTGCACACACGAGGTGGTTCCTCGGTCCCTGCCCCTCCTGTACAGCGCTTGCAGGTGAGGGTTGTTGGAGAAGGGCTGGCTATGACTTCTCGTGTCTTCAACAATCCTGTCAGAAAAATGTGAAACAACCCCGGCTCATTCATTGGGCCCAGGTCGAAACCAAATATACCACCAAAATGTTATGCGTTCTGCAATGTGAGGAACCATGTGCCTTCTTCCATTTTTTTAACCCTCGCCAATCCGAAGCCTTGGTCACCATGCAACATATCTGAAACGCGTGATGCTAAAGCCACTGCGACAGCTGGTATCGTTCAAGGAACCCGCTGCAGAGCCGGCCGTAGAGGAAGCATCACAGGCGACGAAAGGATGGAAGGATTTTGGGGTGATGCTGTGGGTTCGACTCGGATAAGTACCTCAATATGATGAGATATTTGGAATAAACATGAGGATGTCAAGCACGTCAAGCAGCAAGAATGAGGGATGTGATATCACCAAAAAAATGGTGCTCTGATCCCAAAGAAGTTGTGCAGTCGCTCGCCACGCAGCTGCTATGTTGATCGAAGGACGGTTTGAATGCGCATATGTTGTCTCCGGCAGGGCTACAAACAGCGGCGAGCAATGTTGCTGGCTCAGCAAAGGCCAGTCCAGATTTGAGGGTTTACCTTTCAAGCCGCGCAGTGCACTTGATGGTTCTGAAGGTCCGAAGTTGGCTATTTTTGAATCACACAAAGTATATATGTAAGTACAGTACGCATATGTCACAAGAGTACATACACGTTCTGGCCCCCTTTCATCTTGATCATTGGATGCTTATGGGCGCTAGCTTGCTGTAAAGCAAGATCAAAGCCGGCAATTGGTGCTACGTAGTGAAGTTCATGAACCTGACAGGCCTGACAGGCTAAGCATGTTTTATGGAACACCATTTGCGGCGCTTGCAGATATCGGGAAAGCATGTCCTACGGCCGACGGCGACAGAGTGCGCTGGTTCCACGCTGAGCAAAGCCACTGCTGACGGGATCGCCGAAGCGTCTACGCGGAATTGTTTGAAACTGGCTGTCAACTGGCTAGTGGTTTTATGCTGGTTCATTTCTTTCACCGACCAAAACCAAGATGGCCATCATCAATATCACCAGTATCAAGCATTGTCACCGACTATTATCTCGCTATTCGTTGTTCGCATCAATTTTCAGCCACCAGTCAAGCATCATGAATCATCAGTCCTCCATCATGCAGTTTACCATTATAATTATAATGATAATCATCATGATCGTCCTGACAATGATGATCATCATGAATCATAATCATAGTCGTCATCAGCACCATCAGCACCTTTAACACCATCAGCACCTTTAACACCATCACTGCAGCCAGCATCAGCATCAGCATCAGCATCATCATCATCATCATCATCATCATCAGCATCATCATCAGCATCTCCCTCCATCACCATCGTCATCGTCATCCCCCTCCATCACCATCGTCATCATCATCGTCATCGCCAATTACTTTCCAGCGCTTGCACATCTTCATGAACCTGCACAGCTACCCTCCCTGCATTGCACATGTGAAGACTGTGAGCAGAAGGGAAACTCTCTCCCATTGAGCTAAAGACCACCCCACATAGTTTCACCCTCAAAGACCGAGCATAGTTGAACATTCAACCAGTGACAACACGGACATCATCCACATCATCCGTCGTGAGAAGTTGATCTCCCACTATATCCAACTATCCATGATATTGATATATATATATTGATTATCATATCTTTCATATCCAAATCAACAACACATATACCCATCCTCCTTGCTAGCCCCTCCCAACTCTTTGTGGATATCTTTGGGCCCGGTTCAGACGGCCCAGGCGCGAAGTGGAGACAATGCCACATTCCTGTCCTTTGCAGAGTACAGGCGGCTGTCGTTGGCATCTGTCCACACCCTTGAGATTATGGATTTATATAAATGTCTAAAATGGGGGACATAATAGGAATATCATGGGATAGAAATGTGGTATATGACATCGTTTTTGGCCAACGATGATGTTCCATCCGATGAGTTTTAACGACATACAACGACCTCACTGCGATGTCACTAAAACTGATAGTAGAGGTAACTAGCCCCAGATGGATGAAATGTTCAGCGAGGTGAATCATTACATTTGATCCAGGTCCCATTCAGGACTACTTTGCAAGGCAATCCACTTGAAAATTGTTTTTGGAGCAAATTTCAGCAACTGCGCTGAAAGAATACGTATGTTCAAGTTGCGGCAACTGTCATGAAAGACATATCACATTCTGCTGCGTGTTTTTGTTCTGGTGCAGGAAAGCCATGTCTTATGGGGCTCGAAGGGCGTGGGGCACTAAGAAAGCAGGTTGCAAGCTGCGAGCAGCTCTGATGTTTTCACTTGGACGTTTTTTTACATTTTGGACTGGTTTGGACTGGTGGCGACACCTCAAATGGTTCCTAGCAACCTTGGGAGGGGAAGATCCAAGGCTTTTTCAAAATCCGGGTGGGGGTGGTCTGACTAACAACCGGTTCCAAAGGGATGATGTTTGCGGGCGGCGTGGCTCAGGCAAGACTTAGCCGCTGACAGTGTGGCCTAACCTTTGGTGACGGCAGACTGTTACCTCCATGGTGCTGTCACTGCTGTCAGCCACAAAGAACCAACTTCAAGAGTTCAAGAATCTTCATCGCAAAGCAAGCTTTGCATGAAATCAAGGCTTTTGTAGCCAAAATGAAATCCAGCGATTTGAATCCTTGATCGCAAAATGCGATTTTTAGAGGCTTCATATCTCCCGAGAAATCAACACAATTATGATTGACAAAACACATCAACATAATTATGGAATCGTACATTGTAATACTCAAACATTTGCAGGCAAATTCTATCTATTTACTGCAGCCAAAGAATATTGGATATTCTTATTATTTAACATTTACAGTAATATGATTGAGAGAGATCTGGAATGTAATTCCTGTGCTTCGGATTTCCTAATGGAACTCTCGCAATCATCGCGTAATGTCGCATAACACCCTCTAGCTGCTAGCTTGCCCACGATTGGAACACTCCTAACCCATTTTTCGGCCCATGACGTCGAACCAACTTGGATTTCCATTTACTTTCAATATTTTTCAATTATTGTTAAGTTTTACTATTTTCAATATTTTCAATTTGCTGTTTTTCAATTATTGGTTTTATTCTCCGCGTGTTAAGTGAGAGTCTCCTGTTTCCTGTCTCCTCTCTCCTGTCGATGGGATTTGGATCCCCGTTGGAATTTCCCTTATAATTTGGAAGGGGGCGACCCTCTTCTAAATGGTTTACATATAGGCATTCTGTAGTTACAAGAAGCCCCCTATCCAGGGCATTTTGTAATAGGACACCTAAAAGGCAAAGTTGTACATTTTGAAGTGTTTATGTTGTAAGAGTTTTGAGGGACCAACTCATTCTATAAGACCATCGAGTTTGTTTTTGTTGAGGCTTTTCGTAAGCTCAAGATACTGCTATTGAACATCAAAAACACAAAAACTCAGCAGGGTGTGCAATGACATTTTGTAAGGAGATGTCTCGGAGATGTCGTCAAGAATAGAAGAACCATTTTGAAAAAATATATGCCTTTCAGGCATTGATACTGTACAAATATCAATTTTTATTAGATCTGTACATGTTTTTGATTCGACTCAATCATTTGATAGCTGTTTTGGCTATGTCGAAACCACAGTGCTGACACAGCAAAATGTAAAACACCCTTTCAAATGGCAACTTCCTGGGGCTACAAGCACCTTGTCATTTGTAAGGCACAATCCAAGTTTAATGGCAGCCATTTTGAATTCAATTTATTTTTGGATTTGGTGGAGGCACCAACTTTCTTCTCAACGGGTGTTGTGTTGGCCAAGGTTTTTTTGTAAGTTGTAAATGTGGCTACTTTTACGGCTATCTCATATTTTCATTTTGTACATTGTACATATTCTTTCGTGTTCAATTTTCATGTGTTTTTTCGTGTGCTCATGTGATAATACAAACGCAAGACATTATGACAGGAGTTCTGGTAGGCAATGATGCCAAAGAAACAAGAATACAAAAGGAGGCAGAGAAAAGGAATCCTTACAAAAAGGCGGCTTGAAAATCAACGAGACCGGGGGAAAAAAAGGGAACCAGAAGATGTTGCCTTACAAAATGATACCCAAAAATGCAATACATTTGAAATCACAATTTCTTATAAAAAGGTTATCGGGTGGGATACAACATTCATATCATGAAGAAAATGGTCACCTTACAAAATAATGACGGATTTGAATGCGGGTGCTAAAAACTATGTTTTTTGTAAGGGCTAAGATTCCCAAAATTTCCCAAAAACCGATCCATTTTATAAAAGGTTTCAAAATCCCGCTTATAAGAAGCCGGGTACGACCCCTTCTCCCAAATTCGAATCCG